TATATATATATTTATTTTACTACTTCTTTGACTTATTACTCATGGACTTAGGTATTTCTTTCACTACTTTATTGACTTTTTCCTCCACAAAGATAAAATATATCTCTTTTCCCGTCACAGACATTGTGAGGAGTAAGAGATTAGTTAGTTCAATCTCAGATGCACAAGAACAGTATGTGGCAGCACGGCATAAGGCTCACTCCATGCTGTCACATATATGCGGTTGCAGGGCCGTCTCTATAATGAAGTAGCCTAAGGCTGTTGCTTCAGGCAGCATCTCTTTGGGTCACGGTCACGTGCAGGGGACAGGCAGAGCAGCATGGTCACTCTGCTGCACAATGTTTGGAGTGTTCCTGCTGCCCTCTTTCCTGCCATGGTGTTCCAGGTTGCCTGTAAGGGCCATACACATCTCCCGACCCAGCTCTCAGCAACCATGGATGCTCTGGCCGGTGACCCACCTAGCTCTTGGCAACCAGTGACATCAGTGAGCTGGGTAGGACAGCGCTGAGATGATGCAGAGACCACCCCCAGTTAGCATGCACCACCAGCAGACCCACCTCCCATCATGCCATAGGCAAGTGGTAACGTGTACCACTAACACCCAACCGCCCCCCCTCTCACCGTCATGCCACATCAAGCGGTAACGTGTACCACTAAAACTCAACTGCCCCCCCCTCCCGTCATGCAAGAGGCAACGTGCATATGGCTTGGGTTGGGTTAATATACAAATTTATACGTAAACAAGCAGAGCAAGAACTGCAATTTGTGCAAAAAAAAACTGTTTTTAAAAAATCAAATTAATATTTCTGTATTTTGTGACGTTTGAGAAACTTATTCCTGTAGACTTGTGAAGTTAATGATAGATCCACTTTAAAACTCAAGTAAAATCCACTTTGCTTGCATTTCCTCTTCCTTGAGTGAGTCTACGTGGATAGAAAAAGGCAGCTATATCTAAACCCTCCACAAGATGGCGACATTTTGTGCCTGTATCTAGCTGCCCCAGGTCCTCAAAGACTTTATTTTATCTGCATCATTTATTTTTTAACTACTTTATTGACTTATTTATTTATGTGTTTATCCACTTTATGAACTTTTTTTTCCCCCAGGTTTTTAATTCTTATAAAGATTTACCCCAAGAAAGTCATGTACAAGTCAAAACAGGCGGAGAGCCCACTTTTCCAGGATGTACAGACCAATGTTTCTCATAAGGCAAGATACAAAAATACTAACCAAGATCGTGTGAAGGAAAGTGAAATCCTGCCAGGCGCAATACCTTGCCAATACGGATGGTTTGTCAAGGGCTGGATCTTACTAAGTAAATAAATCATTATTAGCAGTGAGTGTTGCCCGGCATATATCCCAAGGTAGTCTCAGCCACTAAGGTTCAGCGATTATGGCTATTTCAGCGCTTGTTTTAAAGAATCCCATCTCCAATTCATTTTTTTTAAAATTAGCTTTTTATATGGTGGGGAGGGATTAAAACCTCTATCTTTATTATACCCAAGGCCATCCTTCTTTGGGTCACTTACCTCACCCCCTTTCCAGCCAGAGCATGCCTGGTTGCTAAGAACCGTGCAGGGAGATGCATAATGGCCATACACAGCTCTGCTCCTAGCTCTTAGCAACCTGAGGCGCTCTGGTCGGCGCCCTGCCCAGTTTCTGGCAACCAGTGATGTCTCTCTGGCCTCCCCGGCCTGCTGTCAGGGGATGGCACATGTGCCTAGAGAAGAACCTAGGCCTAAGCTCAGGGCCTGAAAGCTTGCATTGCCTTGCCATATGGATTTTCCAGGAGGAGTAAAGCTGGAATATGGATTGGAGCACCAGGGGGAGGGTTTGTATTGCTAAATCTCTCTGGTCTCCTGCCTGGGGAGGACAAATTTGCTTAGAAAATAACCTAAGCCTGAGTTTAGGGTCTGCAAGCTTGCACTGCCCTGCCAGAGGGATTTCCCAGGAGGAGTAAAGCTGAAATCTGGATTGGAGCACCAGGGGGAGGGTATGTATTGCTGAATCTCTCTGGCCTCCCAGGCCTGCTACCTGGGGAGGACACATGTGCTTAGAGAAGAACATAGGCCTGAGTTTAGTTCCTGCAAGCTTGCATTGCCTTGCCGTAGGGATTTCACAGGAAAAGTAAAGCTTGAATATGGATTGGAGCACCAGGGGGAGGGTGCGTATTGCTGAATGTCTCTGACCTGCTGCCTGTGGAGGACACATTTGCTTAGAAAATGACCTAGGCCTGAGTTTAGGGTCTGCAAGCTTGCATTGCCCTGCTGGAGGAATTTTCCAGGAGGAGTAAAGCTGAAATCTGGATTGAAGCACCAGGGGGATAGTGTATATTGCTGAATCTCTCTGGCCTCCCAGACCTGCTGCCTGGGGATGGCACATGTGCTTAGAGTTTAAAGGCCTGGGGATGGCACATGGAGTTTAAAGGCCACAGCAGCCAACTTTTCTTTAATTAAATATAAAACTTTAATACAAAAATAAAACCAAAATATTTTCTGTAAGACACAACAGGTAAAAAACCACAGTGTAAACAACAGTTTTACGTCTCCCAGGTTTCCGGGTCCCTGAAGGCACCTATTGTAACAAGAGAAAAAGGAACACCGCCCCATACCAAATGTGTCTTCGGCTTCAGATGCCTATTACTGTGTCCCCAGCCGCAACACCACCGCCTCGGGGACGTCTCTCTGCCAACCGTAGACCCATCCAGCCCAAAGTACTTGCTCGACCCTTGAGCACCACTTAAACGGACACCCACACCTGTGATGGGTCCCCAACAAAACAGTTTGCATAAAAAACTGCGGTATCCCTGCTACCTTCAAGGACCCCAAACCGCCACAGCGACACAAGCGTACGCCTACGCTTTGGAGCCCCTCCACAGAAGCAATGCTCTCTGCACTCCGTCCTGAAGACCCAGGAACCAGAGGTCCGTCCCCACAGCATTCAGGTGCACACCATCACCCCGTAGGCACTGCCCCGTTTCCACCTCTAATTCGCGGTGCCTAACCACCACCCCCCCCATTTCGGGCCACAAAACGCCCCACCTCCTTGTTGACTTTGATCCTTGCCTTGTTCACTCTATCCACGGACCAAGCCATCTGCCACGCCGTGCGGGCCACGACGTCCGACCACACAATGATCATGCCTGGGAAAGCTTCCAATAGCCGCAAATAATCGTATTTCACGTCTCGAATCAGTTCTCGCATAGACCGCTGACCCAAATCATTGCCCCCAGCATGCAAAACCAATACGTCAGGCGGCCTGTCCAGTTCAGCGAACCTGGTGACCTCCGGAACCACCACGCTCCACACCATACCCGGCACCCCGATCCATCGCACGACCGCCTCACTCCGTGGCACACCCAACTGTCGGCCATTGGGCCGCACCTCTGCCCGCCGGGCCCCCCAGAAGACATACGAGTGGCCTAATATGCACATGAGGCCCGTAGCGACACCTGAAACACAAGAGAGGGAAAACAACGCTCTACCACCCTGTCTGGAAAAAAAACAAAACACAAACAGCCACAACAAAAAACACTTTGTTTTCCTACATACCTTAAGTTTAATTTAACCCCTTATCTCCCTGTCTCCCCTACTCCCCCTGTCATGCTGTCCCTCTGCACAATTCCCTTTCTTCCTTGTGCTCCATGACTTTCTTTACTACAGATGACAAACCTGTAACTGGTACAGCAAGAGTTTATGTCGCAATTTCAAAGGTGAAAGTTCCTCAAGTTTTGAATCTGCATTCAAATGATTCTTCAGAGGAACAGAAAGGACCTCCAGTGGAGTCCAGTTTTTAGTGGGGTCCCGGCAGGGCTGGATTTACTCTCTCTGTTACCCCAAGGCCAGGTTCCTCATTGCGCCCCCCACTACCCGCCACTTGTTTGCCTGATGAAGGGGATCCTGTGAGACCCCGAAACGTTGTTTAGAGCCTTGGTTCTCAACTGGTGGGTCGTGACCCAAAAGTGGGTCGTGACCCCATGTTCAGTGGGTCACCTCATTACTTTTACTTTTCGGGGAGAGAGGCTCATCAGCCTCCCCCTAGCGGTGCCAGCTTGAGGTGGGGTGGGATGAGGCTATGGATATGAGGGAGCCCTATTCATATGTGCATTGCTTACAGCTCCCTCACGTGCCCTGTAGAGGTGCCTGTACTGGAGTGATGTCACATTCTGGCTCCCAGCACCTCTACAGGGCACGTAAGGGATCTGTACAAGAAATGCACATATGGATGGAGCTCCGTCACAGCACAGCAGCCCACACTGGACCCCAGGCTTAGGATCCACTCCAGTTGTTGTACGATAGGAAGACTGGATGGATCTTAAAAAAAAAATAAAAAAATTTGGAGTGTGTATGTGTGTGTGAGATTGTGTCTGTGGTTGTGCATTTCTATCAGTGTTTTTGAGGGCCCGTTCACACTAGTACAGTGCGTTAATCACACAGTCCTGTGTGATTAATGCATCTTACCACGCAATCGCACCCACCGCGCATTCTTGTGTGGGAGGTGTGTTGCATTGCCATTCATTTGAATGGCACCCCAAACCCACCACCCACCCACAGTTCAACGCACGGTAACGCAATTACGTGCATTCCAGTTCGGTGCGACTTGGGTCATGACTTGATGACCAAGAACAAATGTGGGTCCTGAGGTTAAACAGTTTGAGAACCGCTGGTTTAGAGTGTTCTACTTGCAATTAGTACGTTAATAAACACGTACGGAACTTGCTTTGGAGTGCCGGTGTCCATCCTTTACTTATATTTTGTCGGAAGCCACCTGCTGACACCTGCTACACCCACCTTCCATTTTTGGAGCAGCGGCTCTGAGTGCGATGGGTACACGGACTGTATACTGCCCCTACCCGCCAACCCCCTCATGGAGAATGGCAGACCTGCAGGCTGCATACAAGTGATCGCGGCGAAATGCCCAAGATCACTTGTACAAAACAAGCGGCGGCTGCCCCGCTGTACATTTAGCTCTGCTTGCCCAAAGCAGGGCTTAATGTAGAAGACAACTACCTGCCCGGACCCCGGAACTGCATGTCCCGGGCATTAGGAGATAGGAATTCCACATCCCTGCTGCCCCTCTACTCCATGATGCCCCAAGGCCGGGTCTTGGGAAATCTGGCCCTGGGTGCTGGTCAAAGCCACGTTTTTACTCGGTTAAATGGAAAGAGCACCAAACCATTAGACTGACCTATTGTGATTTTTTATGTTATTGTAATCTTCTCCTTTGCATAGCAAGCTCAGGAAATGTGTGTTTCACTCTAGAAATAGAGTTGGGTAGAGGCTTAGAAAGTGTTGAGTGGAGACACAAGATTCTCTGTAGCTCAGACAAACAGGCAACCATATCCTTTGTTTCCTTTTTTGACTGTGCAGTTGTAAAGCAGCTCTGTAGATAAAGCTAGGACACGTGAAAAAAGATCTAAGCCCCACAGAGTATGTATGATACAGAGGCTATCAAAGGGGGATCTCAATCATCTACGTCAGTATGAGCAGATATATTAGGTTAGGCCCAGAGGACAATCACCATTTCTGTTTAATAAAATCAGAGTCGGACCAGCAAAGAAAAAAGATTATGAAAAATAATAGGAATAAGACATGGACATTTAGAGTGATCCTGACCACACGGTATTGTGATGAGGGATCTATTAAAGATAAAGGAACCCAGAAGGAAAAGACACTCCCTTGCCCAATGTGGTTTTTTGAAGGAAGTTGCTTGGGTACCTCAGGATGTGGGTCCCCGGGTCTCTGCCTTACAGTCATCACATACGTTGCAATCTGACCATGCAATCTTTGTAGTTATGTAATATGAGGGTCTACCTAACCTAGCCAAACAATTTGTATCCAATCAGCCAGGACCTTGCTCCCGTAGCTGGCCATGGAGAGTGGGACTGCACTGCCGGACCTATACTGAAAGCACTTTCTCCTGCTATCCTTGTGAGTGCAACATTTTTTAGTATAATAAATGTGTCTGTTGTAATAAAGAACATCAATGTGTCCTCGTTCTGATCATGAGTGCACTGAAAGAAGAAGAGGAGAGAAAAGAAGCAAGGAAAGAAAAGGAGGGGTGCTGGAAGGAGAACAGAGGGTGCAGGGAGGAGAGAAGAGGCACAGAGACAGACACGAAGAGAGAGGAAAGAAAAAGAAAGGGAAGATGGAAGATAGAGGAGAGGAAACGTAAGTGAAGATAAGAATTGGAGGAGAAAAAAATAGTGAGGGGAGAGGGAGAGAAAGGGAAGTGGAGGAGAGGAAAAAGGACAGATAAGAAGCGGAGAAGATAAGAAAAGATGAGAAGAAAAGAAAGGGAACTAAGAGGTTTGGCCAAGAAAGCTCTTCTGCACGAGCGCCAGCCGTGGCATTGCCCTATCCACATACACCACAGCAGTAAAGTATTAAAATGAACGAGGATCATATAATCCAGCACGTTGTTACTCTCAGGTGCCCAACTCAATATGGTCGCCGCTTGAGTGGGGCACCTGAGAGTAATAACATGCTGGATTAGTGTGATCCTAGCTCATTTTCATACTTCATTGCTGTGGTGTATGTGTATAGGGCAATGCCGCGGCTGGTGCTCGTGTAAAAAAGCTTTCTTGGCCAAACCTCTTAGTTCTAACTAACGCAGAAGTCAGGCAGTTGGAGAACTCGATAAGTTGGAACTTTCGATAGAACACCAGTACTTGGCATTTTCATGAGAACTACCAGGGTTGCGGCGGTTGCAGCTGGGACCTGGCTCTGGCGCTCCACCACCGTCCTGAAATCATTAGTCTGTATTGTTTTACAAAAACTTGTCACATGACACTAAACAATAATGTATCAGTACTTGTATCTGTGAGTACTTGGACAAGTATCAGTACTTGTACTTGCAAAAATGGTATCGTGCATCCCTTTATTTATATTCATAAAAACAGAATCATACATTAAAACAGAGATGTACAAATCCCAGGAGCTCCGTGTGCTCCTTATAAATGACAGCTGTCTCCTAACATCTGAGTTTTTCTCTAGTCTAGTCTTGGAGCTGGAAAAGTATCTGTACTTGTACTTGTACCGAGCACGGTACTTGGTATCGGTGCATCCCTAATTCCTTTCTCTGAATTTTTCATTGCATCTAAACATTATCCAGTTCTCCATATCCCATGAATCTCAGTCTCCTCTTGTCACGAACAAGCAAAACTGAACGTCAGGCTCATAATACCCTCAAACGTATGCCCCGAAGGATGAACGGTCTCTGAGGCGGACGCCACTGTCATGTCCCAGGCATCCACGAAGCCCACGTTGACCCCTTGGAAAACCTCTCTAAGCACAATATATTGAGTATAACCATGGAAGTCACCAATCCTTTCTGGCGGTGCGTTCGTTTCTCTGGTGTTTTCCGTTTTGATGATAATTTTGGTTTCCGGGCTCCGGAGGAAAAGGCGCTCGACAGCTCGGCGGATGTTGAGCGCCCGTCTAATAAAGAGTTTCAGGGGGAACTGTCGGAAGTGCTGCCCCATGGTTATGACAAAGATAGTGTCCTTTCCTCCAGGTTGCCTGTCAATCTGGCGGCTCGTGTACATGTCATCCATGAAGTAGAAGAAGACGAAGCTCTCCAAGGGAAAACCGTGTCTTTTATAGGATATGTAGATATCTTTTTCCATGTTCAGAGCCTCAAGTGTCTTCTCCCAAGAGCCCCATCCGGTCTCGTGATAACGAAAATATTTCACAACTGGTGGAAACAAATGAAATCTGCCATGTTATATACTGTATGTTCTTGAGTCTGGATAATATACATGCACTCGTTCACAAATAATAGTACACTTTAGTTAAACATGAACATATTTCATTTAAAATCAGTCAAGGGTTACGTGAATAGTTTCATTATGCGCAAATATCCCATTTTATAAAATCCCTACCTCGCTCTCACTAGGCGCCATACTCACTGACTTCTTTTGAAAGCAGATGTAGATCTAATCCCCTTGGCCCTGGACTGATCTTTTTGATCTAGTCTATACCCACTCCATCCTCTCTCCCTACCAGATCGTACCAGACTAATTGGGAAGTGGAATTTAATGTCTCTATCTCCTCTGAGGATTGGGGGGGGGGGGGGG